AGGGATCCAGAACGCCGTGGGGCAGAGCGAGTGGGTGCAGTTAGGACTCTGTTCCTGGGGGGAGGCCCGTGTGTCTCTCAAGGTTGTAGCTTCATGCACAGAATAAGTATCTGGGTTTGATGTAAGGGCCAGGAGACACATACCTCCCGTACATGAAGTTACTGTATTGGATTTCCCCCACATGGGATCCAACCCTGTGGCTTCCTTCCTTTCCTGTAAACTCTGCACTGAGCCCCGGCTGTCATCACTCATTTCCTGGAAACCAGATGTGGACAGCTGTGGCTGCTTCCTGGTACAGGCTGCTGGACAGGGAGCAGCTCTCGGGACATGTTCTGTGTGGAGGGGATGCCCATGGGTGGCTCTGGTGGCTGGTGTGTGGCTGAGACTCAGCAGCCATTGAGGTACAGGCACAGTGGCCCACAAAACTCAGAGCACACAGCAGCTGTGATCTTTCAGCCCCACAACCACTTGGAGGAGAAGTGAATGTTACCTGTACATTCAAAAAAGCCGGTTTGGGGCCGGCCCGGTGGCGCACTGCTACAGTGCGCTGCTTGGGAGTGTGGTGGCGCTCCCGCCGAGGGTTCGGATCCCACGTACAGACCGGTTCCCGCTCACTGGCTGAGCGAGGTGTGGGAGCAACACCGAGGGTTGCGATTCCGTTGCCGGTCAGTAAAAAAAGACAAAAAGGAAAAAAAAAAAAAAAAAGCCGGTTTGGAGAGCCACGTCCAAGCTCAGCCAGCCAGATAGCGGCCACGCCAGGGCCAGATGCCAGATCAGGTCCCTGGTCCAGCGCTACATGGCTAAGTGGCCGCCAGTAAGGAGTTTCCCTCCTGGGGAGGAGGGGAGAAGACTGTCAGATCATCTTTAGAGGAACAGGAGGAAGGGGTGGGTGGGGCGGTATCTCCATTGGTTTGGAGGAAAAAGAGGATGAGAGAGTTTCGAATTGTGGACCCAGCAGATCCTGTGGGACCAAGGACACCACAGAACTGACCACAAGGGCTGCAGACCCTGTTGCCTGTGTGGTGACGACCAGCTGCAGCACTGCACAGTGGCCACGTGCTCCGTTCCCTGGGTGAACTCACGGGTCAGTGCTCAAAGCCAAGGTCAGCTCTCTGGTGCCTGAAGATCCACCCATGCACGCTCATACCTAAGCACACCTCAGCCGTCAGGTGCAGGAGCACAGCCCCCGGGCAAAGGTGGCACCTTTTCTTGGCCCACTCCACAGTGCGTGTGCTTCAGTCTCCCTTGGGTGCTTGGAGAATTCCTCTTTAGAAAGGAGGCAAGTGCGAGGGCTGGGAAGGGCAGGCCCATGGTGGGCAGCTTTCTGTTGCTTCCACTTGTTTCATGCACTAAGTTCTTCACCCACCTGGTGGGAGCACAGGCGTGCACCCTCCCTGGGGCTGGGAGGGCAAGGTGGGCTGTGGGTGCCCTCACACCTGGTGAGGCCGGTGGGCCCTCTCCCATCACTGGGACCCCAATGCTGTGGTGGCCAATCCAGCAGCGTCCTTCCCCTGCTCACAGCCTGGCCCGGGATAGCAAGGCTCCTCATTGCTCATCCCGATCAGGCAACTGGGGTCTGAGCTCTTACGCCTTTTTAGTGTCCTCAGACCCTCTCATCACACCCTCTCCAACAGCAGAAGTGCACCCCCGTTCTCTCAAGACGTGGTGATGACAGGGAAGACAGGACGGTCCCACACCCAAACAGATGCAGGGGCAGAGGGAGTGCAGGAGGGGCTTGGCCCTCAGCCTGGCGGGCACATCCCAGCCCCGGAGGCCGTGAACTTCCCTGTTGAGGGGAGAAATGACGCTGTCTCACACAGGAGGAGAAAGGAACCACGGGCTTTACTTCGGTGAACCCTGCTCCGCCTGCCGCCTCCCGCCCAGGACGTCGCTCCAGTCCCAGGGCCAGCAGCCGCTTCCCACGCTGGACTTCGCACGTGGCTGTGTCCACACTCACAGCACGGCCTCGCCACGCCCCTCAGGACACCTCTTTCCCCCGTGCTCCTTCCCAGGGCCTTGTCATGAGAACGGCAGGGCCCACCCCTTTCACTTCCACCAGGGGCACGGGCCAGGCACTCGGGGGACAGGAGGGACACAGGCTCCGCTGGCGCCTGAGGCCGGGGCAGGGATGGCGACCGTGGCACACGCCTCCAGCCGGCCTCCACCTCCCGCCTAGCTTTCACAGGTTAAAACATTCATTACTGGGGCCAGAAGTGTTATTCAGGCTCAGCATGAGGCTGGTGCCTAGTGGGAGTCACCCTGGTAACTTTTTAAAAGGTATTTAATTTTTGAAAAACATCTTTTGAAAAAGTTCAACTGTGGTTGGGGAAAGGGAGCTGCTGGTGGTCAAGGCTTCCTTCTTTTTTCAAGGAGAAAGACCCACCTGCTGCCTGCCGCCTGCCGAGAGACACTCTTTCCTCTTGCCACACGCTGTGCCAGTCACCAGGTGCTTGTCCTCTGGCTCCTGCTTGGCACCCTGACACTAACACACCCAACATTCATCTGCACAAATCCCTTGTCACTTACAAGGACTTGGAGGACCAGGGACTGTGGCATGTACCCTGGAGCCTCTGGGGGTGTGCAGGTCTGCAGAGCTGGCCACAGGTGGGGGGGGGGCAGTGGCTGGTTTCAGTGGGGGCCAGTCTGAGTGTTCTGGAACACTGCCTACCTATAGCAACCTGTATCTAGCAAGTTCGTGAGCGAAAACAGGATTCGCCCCAGCACTTGAGATAATTAAAAATCAATGCGCGACACTGTTGGTGCACCAGACGGATGTGAAATGATCCTGGTTGGAGGGAGCCAGCCCTGAGAGTCCACCCTTCTCCAGGTGAACACCACTAACCGCGATCTGACGCACGACGTCTGTGCGTCCACACCGGCCGACTCAAGATCTCAAACCCTCCGAGGCACCACCCTCCCACGGGCCTTGCAGGCTGGTTTCCAGCCGATGTTAGATGCAGGGAAAGCGGGGCACTGACCCCGTAAGCAAGGCGCCTAAGGCGGAAGTCGGAGGAAGGGCAGGAACAGAGGCCACATCTGCACACTAACCTTGTGCTCACCTGACTCACGCCTGTCCTGCTCTCCCTCGTGGCAGGCACATACACCAGCAACCTTGTTCTCATTTCACAGCAGCAGTACAAGGAGCCCCACACTGCACGGGCACATACAGGGCCCTCCCCCGGCTCTGGAGGGTGCTGCACTGGCCTACTGTGGAGACTGTCAGCACAGCAGCGAGTCTCGCCTGGGTACATGTTCACTGTTGCAGAGACATCGACTCAGACCCTGCCTAGTCCTGGGGCCTGGGCCATCTCCACAGCCGGCCGTAGAGGTAGGTGTCCACTCTGGTTCAGACAGGCCACGCAGCCATGAAGAGGAAGGGGTGTGTGTGAGTGTGAATGTGTGTGGGCACACACAGATGTGTGTCATGGGGACACTGTCTCCCTTCCCACGTGTCCTGGTAACAGATGGCTTCTCAGGCAGAGGCAGCTGGCCCATGTGGCCTACCCACAGAAGCTGGGACTCCAGTTTCCCCACCTGAGCTCCAGCTGCAAGACGTGCCAGAAAACGTTTCCTGGTGAGGCTCAGTTACTGCAGGGTGGCACCGCCCGGGGCCTGGTCCAGCAGACCCCCCCACTCGGGGTGCACAATCCTCCCTCCTTGGGGGGCCATCTGGGCAGGTAACACAAAGGAGGGCGGCTCACTAAGTGGCCAGTCTGGCCAGCTTATAACGTGAAATCAAATGGCACATTCTCTCCCTTGCCATTTTTGACTGATTCCTAGGAAGAGACTAGGAGAGGATTAGGGTCAGGAGGGATTTGGAGCATCCCATCAGGCACAGCAGTTCCTTAGAAGAGAGGTCTGTGCCTCTGAGGCATGCATGGCCCCACCAACCTTCCTTTCTGGCCACCTACCTAAAACAACAATCATTTCCTGCCACCTGGGATTGCTGTGAACTGTGGCCAAAACCTGCCTGCTCTGCTCGTGAGCCCCTCTGAGGAACACAAGGTGACAGGGGCAGGTGACTGCCAAACTCCACTTCCTTTCCCACCAGGAAAGGGCCACAACCCATGTTTTCTTTCAGGAGCCCAGGGCCACAGTATATTCACTCTTGAACTGGTTATATATATCTTTGTCTTCTTTTTTACCAAAAAGGTCCACGTGTCTTGGCCAGGCCTTCTTTCTTTCTGGAGGAACTGGCAACACAGCTGGATGGCTTGGGGACCCAGTGACTTCCAGCTGGCTTCAGGCTGGGTGAGGCTCACCGCCACAGCTCTATTGCTGGCCCTTCCCTCCCCACAGCTGCGTCACCTCTTCAGAGAGAAGCGGTCATGCCTTTGGGCTTAGCTCTGTGGGTGACCACCAAGTCACCAGTACTCCTGATTGGTTAACACTCCAAGGGACAGAAAAGAGAGCTGGAACGTGCTTGGGGAGCCTCTTGTAGCAAAGGGAGAAGGCCTGGTCAGGACTGCCCCGTGATCTCTTGGGATGACTCTGTACTAAAGGAGGGCGACATCACCTGCCTCCAGGACCCTATGCACCGAGTGCACTTGGGAACATTGAAACATTGGAATGATCCAGGCCCAGAGGCTGTAGACCACATGCCACTGGGTGCCCTGGTCAGAGGAAGAGCCCAGGCAGGCCAGGAAGGAAGGTGGACAGGCCCCCAGGATCTTACTTTTGGGGAATCTCTGTTTCAAAGAACATACTTCTCTGCAAGAGGTTACTGGGGCGTGGTTCTGGAGAGCAGATCTGTACCAAACTGGGTCACCTCAGACATTTTCTCAAGTGATAGTTGATGGCTGAGCCAGGATAATATGGAGGACTAAAACAGAGCACAAACTAAAAACAGACGTGTTCTTCAAACCACCCTGCACACACCACACGCACGCACGGCACATAATGACCTGCACCAGCCCCACCTGAGCTGGCAGGTGTTGGGATGTGAAGCGCATCCTGGCCCACTGCCAAGCACCGATGGACGGCTGGAGAAATACACTGCATTTCTTTTAAAAATTTTTATTGCGCATAAAATGGACCGTTACCCTGTGTAGGTCAGATGTTATCGCATTTTTTTTTTAACTCACTCTCCTTCCTGCCCCACTGAAACATGTCTTCTCTTTTGAAAGAGTTAAGAACAGTCTATCATTGCTGGTCAGATCAGCTGGGACATAGCTGCTAGGGCACAGGCCCACCTGGAGTGGCCACCAGCCTTGAACATGGGAGCGGGGCTGCCTTCGCCTGCCCCCAGGTGCTGCCTGTGGACCCCTACTGTACGTAGCCCTGCACTGGGCCCACTCCAGCGAGCTCTGGCATTTTGCATGTGCATATATATGTATGTACATCCTGCTTCCCTGCCTTTGAGGGAAGAAAACCCGCCTAGAGCTGCATGCATTTCCAGAGCTGGAAAACACTTCACGCAGCAGGTCACCAGCGTACTAACACCAACTGCAAACAAGTGGTTAAAAATGGGAGCTTTAAAAAAAAGTGCTCAACTAGAACCTGAAGTCTTAACACTGGTGGGAGTGGAGAGCTGGGGAGCATGTTGCAGGCTAGCCGATTCCAGAAGCCTCTCTGCAAGGTCTTCAGTCCCTTTCTAGTAGCTGCAGGCAGCAGTGTGCTTTGGAAGGATACAGCGAAGCAGCACATCACTGCTGCTGCCTCCTTGGAAGCCACTTCCTAGACGGCGTCCCCCTTCTTGGAGGCCGCTCTGCTGGGCTTGCCTGGCTATGCTGGCACTCGAGGGGGAGAGGGCCAGGGAAAAGGCCACATGGACAATGAAAGTCCTGTCCCAAGTCCAATTTTACTAGAAGATGGGGTTTGAAGATGGAATCTGGAACACTCTCCTCTCCCCCTTTCTAAGAAAAGAGTAAAAATAGTGGCTTTGCCTCATCAGAAAACAGGAGGTGAAGAAGTCAGAGCTGTGAAGGTTGCTAGCAGCACATCTGGATTTCCACACAAGAGAGGTGGCAGCTTTGGACAAAGCGAAGAATAAGACAGGTTCCTTGCTCCTTTGCACTCAGGACAAATGTTGCAGTTGAGGCACGGTTGGTTCCCTGCAGAAATTCCAAGGTCAGCACAGACGCGCACCCTGTCCTTCCCTCAGCACGCCTTGAAGCACCTCCTGTCTCTTCTCTCTGCACGGGCAACCCTCCGCAGCCAGCAGACAGAACCCTCCCCAGGCTGGCTGTGTGCAAATTCTCATCAGATAAGTACTACCCCTCACCGGATTTTCTCAGCCAGAGGCCTCAGGAGCTGCGCATAGCCAGTCCCTGGATGAACCATTAAGAGACGGATGGTTCGGCTTAAGAGCAGGCTAACCAGCACCAACCATCCCTGCTGCCCCAAGGTCCTAGAATGGGGAGGTTCCCACAGTGCTCCGGAGGTGAGGCATGGAGCCGCTGTTTGTGAGACCAGCCTCAACCCAACAGCTGCGGTCACACGTGCGTTTCTGTCTGGCTGGATCTCAGGCTGGGCTGAGGGAATTCTCATCACCAGACTGACCACCCATCCCACCCTACCTTATTTCAGCCAGGGAAGAGGGCTCACCCCAAACTTGCTTTTATGTATGTGCCAAAGAGGGTGAAGCTCTGGCACCAAAACTGAGAAAAAATGGGTTTGGCAGAGCCATGATTCCAACAGGAAGAGAAAAGAGCGGCATCCTTCCTTTTGGCCTGGCTCAAGTGGCACTCGGCGGTGTCCTGAACAAGTGAGAAGGGCCAGTGCTACAGCGAGACCAGGGGCCGGGTGGGGGGAAGGCAGGACACATGTGCAGGGGGCAGGAAAGCTGTGAGTGAGGGCCGCCGAGGGCCTCGAGCTGCCCCCCGTCGCCAACGAGGTCACAGCACTATGAAGAAGGCTGATAAATAGACGCATGTAACCAGTGGTCGTTCAGTTTGGGATCACACTGCGCAAGATGCACCAGAGACCGCTCTGTCTCCTATTCCCAGGTGCAGCTGATCAGTGTCTCTAGTAAAGATATAAAAATGAAGTTGATCCTTTTCAAGTATTAAAAAAATAAGTTAATTGACAAAAAGGGTCTGAAGCAGCTGAGCATCCTGCAGGTCGTCAGCTTCATTTCAATGTGCAAACACAGGAAAAACGCCATTTCCTGCCCCAATGTAAAGCGCTGAAGTGACAACGCCTGTCAACTGGGGGCTTGAAATGCAGGGTCTCCCCCTGGTCCCCCAAAGTCAGTGTTTTCCAGTGTCAAAACAGTTGTGACCTAAAAGCAAAATGCAGCAATCCACAGGCCTCAGGCCACAGCCAGAGAGACTTGGGGTGTTTGGCCACGCGGGTCCGGTGAGGTGGGGGCTGGAGAGCAGACCCCTCTGCGCCCCTCACTTGCATAATGAATCCAGGGCCCGCCGCCCCTCAGCTTGCCCTGCGATGCCAGGGTGGGCACTGACCTGACGGCCACTGCCCTTCTCCTGGGTCTCGATTCCCGTCTTGCTTGTGTGGGGGTCTTTTTCATTTCTTTGGTGGTGCTTCAAGGAGCGTGAAGACGGCTGCGTGGAGGTGTGCTCTGTGGGGCTGTGGGCGACAGAGAGGGCACAGCTTCCTTCTCTTACCAAATGTGCCAGCAGAGAAAGGGCGCCAGCAGCGTGTCCTCGGGGAGCATGTGGGATCTCCACGTCATGCCTCAGATGCTCCGTGCTCCTCTCCTGGGCGGGAAGTCCAGGTGGGCCTCCTCCCAGCAGGTGGAGCCACCTCAGATAATCATTGTCACCTGGGGTTTCCTGCAGCGCATGGGGACTTGGCTCCACTTTTCAAGAGGCACGTGGGCATCTGGGTGTGAACCCCCAGGAGGTGCCAGGCCTTCTCAGATCTAGGATCTGAGGGGTGTGGGAGCTGCAGCCTGGGCAGGCAGATGCTGACAGACCAACCAGGGAGCATGGGCCGGAGCTCAGGACCAGTTCAGGCTGAAGCCCTTCGACAGCATGGCGGCCTCCAGGTCTTTGTCCTCCTCCTTCTCCCGGAGCCGCTGCTCCTCCAGCAGGGCCACCAGGGAGTCTCTCTGCTCGACCACCTCCAGCATCTCGTTCAGGATCTTCTTCTCCTCTGACAACTCCTCCTTGGTCTTCAGGTGATCTGGGAAGCAGCGAGAACATGGGTGTGAAGGCGCAGGAGGTGCGGCCCTCCCGTCCCACAGCCGTTCCCCGCCCTTCCCACTTACCCTCCACGGCCATGCGCTCCCGGAGCTCCTGCTGCAGGCGGCTCTGCCGGTCCTCCAGCTCCAGTTCCCGGGCGCTGAGGTTGTGGGGAGGGGAAGGAAACAGGCAACAGTGACTTGAAGACCATCCCCTCTACCCCACCCAGCTGGGAAGGGTCTGTGGGCCTGCTGTGACAGGCATGGAGTTGTGTCCCCCTGGTGGGGCCCCAACCTTAGGCCACTCACAAAATCATCAGCTCCGACTCATAGCGCACCATGGCGTTCTTCTCTTGCACCAGCCGGAACCACTCCTGCATCAGCCTGGGATCATCCTTCTTGCCCATGCCTGCCAAGAGAGTGTGTGTCAGGCCCAGGAAGATCTCGTCTGCCCGGCCCAGCCCGTAGGAATCACCACGCTGGGGCAAATGTGCAAAGAGAGCCGAGCAAGACGCTGCCGGAACAAACACTCCCAAGCCAGGCCTCAAGTCTGCCTGCAGCCGTGGGGGCAGGGCGGACAACGGGCCTTTGGTTTAGGCTTGCCCAGGTCTAAGGGAGCCTGTGTGGTCCACCCATCCCCCCAGCCCTGCCTTGCCTGCTGGGAGCCCCAGCCAGGGTGACCTCCCTCCTCACGGACAGGCTCAGACCTCTCCTGCTCTGTGGTTTTCTTTTGGTGCATCTTAAATTGCCTTGCCCTCTCCCTTCTTCCCTCTATTTAATATTCATTTGGCACTTGCGGTGTGCTAGGTCTCCTCTAAGGAGTCCAGTCTAATAAATGAGGCGAATGTACATCTAGGAACCACACTTGTCTCGTCCGGCTCTCCCTTGGCTGCCACCTGCGCTGGGGCCAGCGGTGCTGCTGCCTCAGCATCTCTCCATGTCCTGACCAGGAAGGCACCTCTTCTCCACGGGGGCACATCAGACTTCCTGACGCCCTCCCGACGAGCCCTGAGTGGTCTACACAGCCACCCTAGGATGACTGTCAGGCTTTCCACCAATGGCAAACCCCGAGACTGAAGAGGGGGCCCGCTCCCTGCTCTGATCCAATCCTGGCAGCACTGTCTCAGCTGGCACCGGCCTGCTAACCAGGCTGCCCTGAACCACACACCTCTGACCCGCTGGGTCAACTTCAGCAGGAGGATGGAAGAATTTTCCAAGGAATCTTGGGACAGAAGAACCCAAGGAAGGAAACAAACTTTTTCCTTGGAGCACAAAGAATGGCAAGTGTGTGGCCCTGCCTAAGAGATGGACTATGTCAGTGGCTCTTCAATATTTTTTGGATTCAAACTGTATCAAAATCTCACGAATGCTAGGGCCTCTCTTCCTAGAAAAATGCTTATGTACATACAGCAAGCAATTTTATACACAATTTCAGGTGCTCATGGGCTTCCTGAAGTCCACCCACGGCCCTCAGGTTAAGAGGCACTGGACTGAGGAATCTCTCAAAATCCCTTCCATGTTCTGAGTCACTTGCTGGATGTTCTAGCCCCATGAAGACAGGCCCCAGTGGAGGACACCCCGCTCTGCACTCGCTGCTCCCTGCATGCTCTGCCTGGACTGTCCTGCAACTATTCAAGACAAATCTCTTCCTGCGGTGGTGTCTGCTTGACACATGGGCCTTATCCAGCTAGTCTTTACCCAGTGGCCACACTGCGGAGCAGCAGAAACATATCACGTTTGAGCAGCTGAGGTCAGTGTCTGTGCCATGCCATGTGGCTGCACTCCCCAGGCGGAGTCCTGCCCCTGGGCCCTGTTCTGGAGCATGAAGCCCCCTCCTGGCCTGTTGCGCCTGCTACTCGGAGTGCAGGTCAGAGGGTCTGGGGAGCAAAGTCATCACCCAACCCGATGGTATTGGTTCTCTGGCTTTTAAACCAGCCCACAGGTGAGTTCCAGGCATTCTCCCTGAGCGTCTCTGCACAGTGTGCCCATGTGGCCATGGAGATGGAGCCCTGAGCATGCAGCTGTCCAGTGCGGCAGGCGCTGGCACTGTGGAGTCTCCCCTCCCTCCCACCTCCCCACGTGTCAGGACAGAGTTCTGTGGGGAGGCATGTGAACGCCACCTATTGGCAGAGCTTATTCACAGCCAACGAGCCAGGGGACTTGTTGGGGGTGGGGGTGGGGGGTTTGAAAGTCAAGTGCAAGAGCCACAGGGGGAGTCAGAGGTTAGCAAGGGTTAGTCACGATCACACTCTCCTCCCCTGCCCACATGCCTTTCAATGACAATCTTATCACCACCACAGACTTCAAGTCAGACAAACAAAAACCACACACACACTCAGCAAGACACAGGGAGAAGTCTGCTTTCAGTGGTTGTTTTGGAAAAGAACGCAAGGGCATCTGTGTAGACCAGTCTTTGTAAGGACAGTATTCCTTGACTCCATCAATACAAACAGCTGCTGCACAGGCAGGAGGGTCCTCACCCGTGTTCCTGGCCCCTCTATCTGATGGATTTGAGACTTACAGTCCCCAACCACGACTGGTGGGGCAGCACTGCAGAAGCTCTGCTGCAGCCTGGAAGCCCTGCGCCTGGACGCTCTCTGTCTCCACTCTGTGCCCCGGTCCTCCCCTTAGTCGAAGGGATACTGTACCTCGTAAGAAACTGCCACATACTCAGGACATTTTGTAACAGGGCTTTCAAGTGTCAGAGAAATAAAAATAGTTTGGTTTTGGTTCCCTGTTTGACTAATGTTGCTACAGCCCCTCCAAGGCAGCGGGGATGAGGTTGGTGAGGTTATTACGTTACCTTCCTGGACACAGCAAGGGCAGAAGGAGAGAGGTCTACGCCGTGGAGTCCCGCCACTGGGCTCAACTTCAAAAAGGACCAAACAAGGAAGAGGAGGAGGAAATGGAGAAAGACAAAAAAGGAAGAGGGGAAGAGGAGGAGTTTGGCAGTGGAGAGGCACAGGGAGAAGGTGAAATAAAAAACAAGCAGAGGACAAAAAGTATAAAAAGTGAGAAAAGAACAACAGGAGGAAAAGAAAAAAATACAAGAAATGGAGAAGCAGAAACAAGGGGAACAAAGTCTACAAATGAATTATCCTCTTTTCAGCACGGAAACTGAACAAGAGCAGACCCAGGCATGGGGCAGCAGTCCCTGGTGTGGGCGCGGGCTCGATGAGGGGCGGTGGGGTCCTCCAGCAGACATGCGCACCCTCCACGCCTCGCAGGGGTTCGCTGGCTAAGTGGCTGCTCCTCCTTCCTCTGTTCCTTACTGGGAGGCTGGTGACATTTGATCATGACCATATGGTCACCTTTTGCGTCTTGGGTGCTGGGCTCCCTCCTTAAAAATGCCCAAAGTCCCTGGATAGATTTGCCTACCTCTGTGGAACAGGCTAGTCAATATGTGGCCAACATTATCTAGGCTTGAAGGTAACCACCTGGACTCACCAACCAAACCCTGTGGATATTCTGAGATGCCATCATAGATACATGTGCAAAGGGGTGCAGAGGAGTCTGACACTATCGGGTGGCCGTGTCCACAGAAAGCAACCCTGCGTTTGTGGAGGCAGCACCCCAATCTTGTGATGGGCTTCAGGGCTCTGACCTCTGCAATGCTTTGGATTCCAAGCCAGAACAATTTTGGGAAAACATATACACACAGAAGCAACTTCCTCCAGTCAGTATCGTTAAGCCCCATGTGCCAGGGAGAACTGACCCCCACTTTCCCTCTGACCCTTCCAGCAAGGTCACACTTCAGACCAAAGAGGTGAGTTGACAAGACACGCCCAAACTCAGTAGTGATGCTGGCGAGACTGGTGGATGGGGTGGCTGAGAGAAGACAGTGCAGAGAGATGCCTCTAGGACTGTGGGGAGACCTGATGCCACTCAGGAAGAGGGACGAGTTTAGCAAGGGACCATCACAGAACCACAGGAGCACACACAGGGTGGCAAAGCCTGGGAGACACAGGGCCTCCAACTGCAGTGGGGTACAGAGGGTAGCTTAGGATGAGAACAGGGTTTACAAGTAACTTTGGTTTAGTCAACATCAAGGACCAAGCAGATGAACCACTCACTGATCGAGGCCATTCTATTTTGCAATTGAATAAACACAGGTGGCACATTTTCTGTTTCAAGACTTGCCAGTGTTCTGCACAGAGAACCTGATACAACTTCAAAACTAAAGCCAGAGATGGAGAACGTGTGTGTAGCTCCTTGGTTTGACAGTACGCAGTCGGGGTCGGGGCTCCGGATGCCTGGATAAACCCCACTAGACAGAACACAGTGAGGGAAGGGAGCCACACTGCACGCGAGCAGGCCACAGTGCTGGGCGTAACAGCACCATGCCATAGCAGGGGCAGTGCCTCGGGGCACAACCAGCACACATCCAAGATGAGAAAGCAGGTGTCTACGTGTTTATAGGAGATGTGTTTCTACTTTCTGACATCGCAAAATACAGCTTTTAGCTCCTTCTATGTAGAAACATCCTCATTCACCCTTTCTAATACAGAAGACAATATGAGATAGCAGAACACTGAGAACAGAAATTAGGAAATGACATGAGGAAAAAGGCATTCTCACAGGACAGGCAGAGGCAGGCTGCGGGGCTGGCGGGGCCGTGCTCTGAAAGGGGCTGGGCAGGCTGCACCATGCGTGGTTATGACTCTTTCTCAGACCGTCCTCTGTGCTCCAAGATTTCCATAATGAACATATCTACTTTTATAATCAGGAACAACACCCAATAAATATTATTTTAAAAAGAGAAAATGAAGGGCAAACCCAATCAAACAAGGGGAGTGTCACTAGACACTAGAATCTGATGTGAGCCCGTGCAGGAGGCACGGAGCACTGGCTTTAAGTAATCTCTTTGCCTTCTATGGAGATGTGAGAAACAGATGGGATTTGGTTCACTGGTTCTAAGGGCGAAGAGTCATCAAGATTATGGCAGATAGAAGCTTCTGGTTTTTTATGTACTAGGGTAACAGGTTTCTGTCTCTTTCAGTGGGCACCACATTTATTACTTCGGATCATTTCTGCATCCTCTGGACATCATTTCTGAGCAGCCCAGAATTACCAGCGGGCCAGGGGCTCCGCCTGGCCACTCTGCTGCCTCGACACTCTGTAGGCTCACCCAGTCCATTTTTGTCTCGTCAGTATACCGCCTCTATTTCTCTGAAGCAGCACTTTCTTTTGAAATGTGACCACCATCGGCTCTCGGGCACCCCTCAGCCTGGCATCTGGGGCAGATGACGCACGTTTCAGTGTCCGCCAGTGTGATGCATGAAGTAAGCACAGATGGTGCTTTCTGGTTCCAAATACATGCGTGTGTTATTTCACTTCATCCTTCCACCGGCCTGGGGTGGCGGCCTGGATGGGCATCAGCAGCCCCATTTCCAAATGAGATCTGAGGCT